CGGTGGCGAGTCACATTCGCCACGTTGCGGTATTAGTACACGGACATTTGTGGCTTTATATAGGGAGAACGCCTGCTAGGCAAAACTCACCACGTCCTAAAACATTGCCGTTGGTCCATTGAATGGCGAGTTGTAAGTGGCTATACTGTTGTTGAGCGTTGTTTCCTCGCTTATTCGCATTTAGCTTGCGTCCCATTTTTCCGTTGGCGGATGGGTTAGACGAGATCCCATTTCGTTCCTGGGTCGTGTGCCGTCCTGACTGAAAGCCTGGGTTCGATTGGTAGGCCGTGAACTGAATAGTTTTGAATGTGATGTGTTACTCGTCTTCAGGACCACCGAAATGCTCCACGGGATATCCAACGTCATTTGTTGAAGTGTTGTTGAAGCCCTGAAGGATGAGCTACTGTCCAGAAGACAAATCGGCGGTCCTCCTGGGGTAATATGCAACGTGGTTTGGCAATTCAGATATCAGTGGCCAAAGGAATAGGAAAAGCGGGGTGAAGAGCTACGGAAGGGTCGCAAGCAAAAGCTGGTATCCAGTGGCGAAAACTGGCAGAATCCAATTGTTCTGGCCCTGCACCAGCAGGAGAATTGCCTTCCGCAGTCAACAGGGGGCTCCAGGTAAGAAGCTTGTGAAAGAGATATTGTTTAGTGAATCGAACCCAATTGTTCAGGCCTTTGGAAAATTTTATCCTTATGTCACTGTAGATATCCACTGGGACCTAGAAGGCTTAATCCGAATGCCGTTTCTGGCCACCGCTACCTACTCTCCCATCGCCACTATCTGTCGCTCTTCTTATCTTTTTCACCACTTTGCTGCGATTCGTCGTGGGCTCCATACATCCCTGCGCATACTTAGGGTTCGCAACGATACACTCCTTGTGTCTACACCACACATGCACATGGAGTGTCTGTATCACTTACCTTCGCTGGCTTTTTGATATATTCTGTGACACTGTAAATATCCACTAGTGACCCCACGTCTTAATGGAATGGCTACATCTGATCGTTGCTAGTCGCTACCAGCGCCATTATCTGCCGATCGTCTTAACTTCGGAAACTCCATTTAGCAGCAGCTAGTGGTCGTAGGCTCCTTGCATCTCTTCGCATATCCGGAGCTTGTTAGTAGCCACTCCTTAGCTCTATAACCTTTATTCTCTTAGCGTGTCTGCATCCAATATTTCCGCTTCCTTAGCACCACTGGACCTTTGGATCGCCCTCGTGACAAACTATTTATTATTTTTACTTACGTATTCCGCGCAACCGTGGTATTGGGCTGTCTACGTGCCGTTCATTCACCATTCAATCTCCACCAGTCATCTTTCCTCTCTCCCACGCAATGCTTGCTCCATACTAAACGGATATTTCCTGGCTTACTGGTACAACGTTTTTGTCACTACGTAGACGGTAGCAATATACCCATACGGCTATTGATTCTATAGGACGATCCTAAGGCATTTTCCACATAATCATCTTTTCACACTGTACTTGATTTGCCTCAACCTTAAATGTTGTACCATAAGACTTTAACAATGTTTAATTTCCCGCCTGTCCTGGCGGTCTTCTTTCGGTTGTCCCACCCTTTCCCTTTTCTGCGAGGTCCGGAACTTCTTGAAGATCTGGTATTGGACTGAGGAACAGTTTTCGTTAGAGCCGGACGTAATAATCGACAAGGACTTACATGGAGCATGGCTGTATACCAAAGGGACTCAACTGCCATCCCCACCACGACCGTTGTCCAGTATGGAGAGCTGGATAAGTCTTCACACTCATGTAAAGTATACATACTCTGAAAAATCCAGACACCCATAATCGTTGAAACTTTGCTCATTGGACATTAAAAAATGACTAATCGTGGTGTTCCTATCCTCTACCGGCCTGAACGATTATGGCGACTCTGACTAAGCCATCTGTCCAGCCAACAGAGGAAATTGGAAGTCTCCTGACTGCGAATAACCGAGTATGAAATCAGTCGGCAAGCGGCTTTGCCGGGTATATATTAGTGTTTAAAATGTTTCAAGGTGGTGTTGCAGGACCTGGTGAGTTTTCGCCGGGCAAGCGTTCTCCCTATAAAAGACACAAACGTCTGTTTGACAACACTGTGACGTGACGCATATGACGCCTCACTGAAACGTTCACTGCTCAAAACTACATATTGGTAAGTCAACTAGAGTCATATTCCAAGTTTTCCCGACACAAGCAAGAATACGATGCACTCCGTTTACATCCACCGTTTCACTGCAGTTATAGTGCCTTGACCGTTTGCACTAGGCACAATTGAACCCAGCGTATCGTTGTGAAACGCAAATGCCTGCGAACCTTCACCATGCCTGAAGTTGGTTTATCTCCATACTTTTAAGAATAAACTAGTTATTTATTTATTTAATCGTTTACCCGATCGGTAACTTGTAAAAGCGGTGGGTTATCTGCCACTCGTTCCCAGATAAGGGAATTAGGTGCCTGGTATTGTAGTATGGTTGCAGCTATGGATGAGTCCCTGGGGACGCTACGCCATACCTGTGACATCCACGGGAAAATAATGCAAAAAGCAAATCCAGCCACGCAGAGAGACGAAAGAAGTGCATCCGGAACGCAGTCGATCCATTCCAACAATGGCTACTATTGTACCCCTATATCATGTAATTCTTATTTAAATACCCCATATACATAAATATCATAAGTGGCGACGTGCAACTAGAAGCGATCAGAACCCGGAGCAGTAGAAAATGAAAAGTTGTTCCAAGTCAAGGATGAAGATGGTGAGAAGATTTTTTGATGGGTCCTGAAGCTCAAATGTCCAATCTGTGCGACACTAGAAGGCGGAGGACGAGGTGTGAAAATTATAGACTTGATATCTCTCAGTCATAATTGCTGGGAATATAAGAAGTCAGAGAGAACAAGCACATGTAAGTTAACCTTAAAGGAAGATGGAATGCAACAGCAAGCACGGAAAGGAAAGCAAAATATCGGTAAAAGATATTCTGCTGAGGAGGAGTGGAAAAGTCAACACCCTTCTTTAGGTGATGATTTATCCTTGGTAATAAATGGAAAGATGTACAATGCCGAGCGAGGAAATTGGGGTGTGAGTTACCTAGTGTGGTGCCGGCACAGGTAGATAGTATGCCGAGCAGAGCACGAAAGATGAGGGGCACATAATTTTTGGACCATAGAACCTAAAACGTGTACGTCTCGAATCGCTGAAAGCAACCAGAAAGCACGAGGTTGGTCAGACAAGGCTAGATAAGATGACCAGCAATACCTTTGAGGTGTGGGTACCGAGCGTTGCGTTGGCAGAGCCTAGCGCATTTAGATCGCAGAAGTCCGAGAAAGCTCAGCAAACCGGAGGCGGTTCAGACAAACAAAATAACTCAGCAAGAAGAAGCCAGGCCGTCAAATTAAGGTGGGAATAAAAGTAATGAGGGTCATCAGAACAGAAGCAGTTTGGGACAAAGTGGCTAAATGGAAGGTAGTTGGCCTTGCTTACGAAGTTCTCAGGTTGAGGGACATAGTGTGTTTTGACTGCAGAGCCTATGTACTTTACGTTTCGTATGTTTGGAAGCAATTAAAATGAAGGAGACTGGTCAATCGTGGTTAGATTAGAGCCAAGCCAGGAAAGTTATCCGTCCAAGTGAAAGAGGAATGCAAACAGAGCGCGAAAAGGAAAGCATGGGGTCTGGAAAAAAAGACTATTCCGGGGAAGTGGAAAAACCTACTAGGATCTCGAGGTGTCGTTAACAGGCCTATGGATCTGTCGATGAATCATCGGAAAGGGCTCAGTCATCAGAAAGTGGGAGACCAGTGAGGCCAGACTAATGTCGGTTTATAGACAGAAAGCCGCACGCATCAGCTCTTCATTCTGGAGACAACTTTAAGAAGGCTGCGTGTCGAGGGTTTCGTATGATGTGGTTTATCCGCCGCTCTTTCGGAATCTTAACGGCCAAGTTGTTTGTGAAGCTATTTTCGGCATTCGTCCGACCCCACCTGGAATATTGTATTCAGGCTTGTCCACCATGTCTTAACCGAGACAAAATGGACTTGGAGAGGGTGTTACGAGTGGACACTCGGTTAGTGCAGAGTCTAAGGGGATAGACGTATCCTGAACGCTTGCTCAGTTTGGGGATGTACTCTATGCACTACCGTAGGATAACAGGGGACCTGATTCTCAGTTATCGTATTTTGACGGGTAAGATTGGCCCGGACTTGCAAGGGCTATTTAGTCCCGCTACGTTTCCTAATTTCCGCGGTCACCCACTGAAACTTCATAAACCACGGTCTGATGGTATTAGGGTGGAAACTCGTCTGTCGCGCCGAGTTATAGATCGCTGGAATTCGCTTCCAGATGACATGGTTAGGGAACCTACGAGTAAGGGTTTTGCGCGACAGCTCGATGCTCTTGGGTGGCAACAGCAAACCTTTCCTTTTTCCTAGCTGACTCACCTTCACTTTTCAGTTCATTTTTTATTGACTCAAATTTCTTGGTATTCCACTTGCTTAGCTCTTACCACTTTCTCTTTTGCCTTCTGCGTTTACTTTTTTCTCTTTCTTACTTCACGTAACCGACCCAGCGGGGACTGCTAGGGCAGGATACGTGAGCATTAATTGGTTGTGATGCGGTCTTTGTTTTAGGTCCGTCAGTATTTCAAAGTTCGCCAACTCCTGGTTCAACGACCCGCCGAAGAAGGAACACTCACGGGATAATCCTATCGTTCCAGTCCCGCTTGAACTTGAACTTGACCAGTGAGTAAGCTGGGTTTTCCGTTTTGGATACACTAAAACCTAAACGCAGCTTTTCTCTTCCACTCAAGATGCAACACATACGGAATTCAACTATCGTTCCAGTCCCAAATGAACTAGAACATTCACACAAACGCCTCGGATTTTTATAAACAATTGTTTGTACATAACTTTTATAATTTAATAAAATTTCTCTGCCTTATCTTATTGTTTTTATTTAAAATATGCATTGAACAGTGGTACTTTGTTTTTATCCTCAAAAGAGTAAATCAAGCGGCTGCTTTGATAAAAAATGTGTGTCTGGTTTTTTTTGTGAACGATGTCCTCTGCCGGCGTATTTCATTTGGATATGCCTGATGCCTCAAGCTTCGAAGAAGGGGAAGAAATTTCTGATGAGTTTCACCAAGCGACTGCTGGTGTGGAGGTAAGTCTTTTATTTGTTTTGACTTTATTTGCTAGGATGATTTCTTAGAGCACGGTCCACTCAAAGCTGAGGAGTAATTTATTACTTGTTCCTTGTTAACATCGTATAGACTTGAAGGAAACGTTGAAACTGTCGAGATATGTGAAGAAACAGTTAATCCAGGCCAACCCAAAGTTCGCTCACATGATTTTCAGCTCCTCAAAGTTCTCGGAAAAGGAGGTTATGGAAAGGTACTTCTCGCCATTCCTCATGTCCTCGGGCTAGGTTTTTCTTGCGCGCAAAATTGACACTGGACAAACTTATGCTATGAAGGTGTTAAAAAAAGCATCCATTGTGACTAACGCTAAGGATACTGCTCACACTAAAAGTGAACGCAATATTCTCGAAATGATCAAAGTGAGATCCTCTCACTTCGCGTGTAATGTTTTAGCATCCGTTTTTAGTGCAGCTGCACTATGCCTTCCAATCGCCTGGAAAGTTGTACTTGGTTCTAGAGTTCTTAGCCGGTGGCGAGCTGTTCATGCAGCTAGAGAAAGAAGGCGTTTTTATGGAAGATCAAGCCAGGCGAGTCACTAAGCCTCTTATATTTCGACGTCTATTAGGTTTGCATTCAGTGACTATTTAAACCCAATTCGGCGCACAAACGAGTAACATTCCATGCTAGACCGAATGCATCTTCAGTACAATTTCGAGAATTTCATTGCTCTTATTCTTACATGGTTCAGACTTTGTTTTGCCATCTGATTCCAAGTTACCGTCCATAGTGAATTCCGCTGTTCTTTTTACCGTCATGGTACCTCACCTGCGTTCTACATTTGCACTTGATCCCTGCAAATAACTCCTTTTGATATATAACTACACACTTCAAAAGGGTCTGTTGTTGCATTGGTTCATGCGAACACTACTTTCTGTGACAGCCTGGGCTCCCTTTTTTTATAACCTAAAGTAGATTGGCCAAACCGATAACTTCGTTCTTTGCCTGCCAACTTTTACGCTTCCAGCCTTTGGGACGAGAATGAACATCGTTGATCTATACAGGGTGTTGCATCTGGACACCTCGGTATCTGCACCCGCTACATTGATCAACAATTTTCCGAGGGATAAATTTAGCCCTCTAATCATGTATACTAGTGATTATAAAGTACCATCCTCAAGAAATTGCTCATTTCGTTGCGTGCCATATAGTTTATGCCTTGCTGTTGTATGCTTAGCGGCGGTGTTGACTCGTGTCCCGTTTTAGTAGCTCAATGGATGCACAGCCGTGACCGTTTCGCCAACTTCGAGACTCCACGCATTTCTTTAAAGGCCGTCTTGCGAGCCTAGTAGGCAAAAGCGATCCGATGCAGATTTCTCCCACCTTCTGCTTTATCGATTTTCCTCACACTCATATCCCTAAAATCACGTTTCTATATACCCCAGCGTGACGTTAGTTGCAATACCGCTGGTGCTTTACCATCCGTCCTACAGCTGCAACTGTAATCTGAAATCAATGCCACTCAGGCCATGTTATCCGACTACCCCAGTTGTCAATGTTCGTACATGTTTGTCTACGAACTGCACTTGAACGCACACCAACTTTGACGTCCTATATGCCTTCAAACGTAATTCATGGTTCACGCGTTTTTCGAATAGCTCTTGACCTGCCCTCGTCACGTTGCACGTTTCTGGGTCTGCTGATATGGTGACCAGCTGCCAATCTGGAGCTGGTACACTTACCAGCTGCAGGGCTCAGTCAGTTCTAGTCGGTTGCATTCCTGCAACCGAACGTCTGCTTAAGACTTGGCAGCACAACTAACACTCAAGTCAACGCTGAATGCGGTCTACTCGTAGTTAACCTCTCTTCCGGTCAATCGCCATTCTGCTGCGAACCTAGCACAATGGTGCAGATCCTGGTAATGGTGTGCTCACTTTGGTGCGAACTTACACGTCGCCCAGGGTAAACAAGAAGTCGTTATGTTTATTGTGACTGTACTCCTGACGTCTATTACTACTGGGTACTGATTATAAGCAGAATGGACCCGATTGCGCTAAGTGCCCTCCGGATACTGGGAACGGTGTACACAAATCCTACTTGAGTTCCGGGTGGCATCCGTTTCCGGATTTGTCTGTCGCTGTGGCCAGCCACAGGACGCCTGCGCCTACAGAAGGACCATGGATGACTTGCGCTGCACCACCCACACCTCCAACCACACACCCCATTTCCAGTGTAAACCCGAAGGAATAAGACCGGGAGGCATGCGGATGGGAGCCACGTTTCATCAACGGAGCCGGCCCACACTCCTTCACAGGCAAACACAAGCACACTGTATTTGGGAATCAAGCGCACACATTGCATTGGCTGGGCCGTAGTGTGCTCCACACGGAATGCGTAGAACCACTCTTTGAGCATAGGACGAGCACAAGGACCGTGCACCCCTGTCCCCTCCAGCAACGACCAACTGTCTCCTGGAGCCAGTATGGACGAGGTAGTGTGTAATAGACAGGTAGGCACCTTGTCAACATGCCCAACAAGCGCAGCCACACCGGGGATGTCAAACAACAGCCATTCATTCGAAATGCTGATATCAAATCTCTCGAATAAAGGAAACATATATGACGACAAATACTCGCATATGGAGTAAATTGGTTATAAGCGAATCCGCGAAAATACTGATGGCCACATGTTATTAAAAAAACACGTGATAAAGTTAGGCAAGTTTACCACAGCATGAGCGACGAGTGTAAGTTAGGAGAAGGTTATCAGGTACGCAGAACAAACCACATAAAGTGGAATGGATTTTATCCTCATTAAAAGATTTACTTTAAGTGTAATTTGGTTTGGCCCAGCTGCGGTGAAGAATCATGAATGCATCAACCACAACAAGGGACATTCGCTGTTGACAGCGAAGGGCGAGAAATGCTTGCTGTGGACCTTCAGTCTGTCTAAGATATGGAGGTAAATTACGCTTAGGATGGCGGTATACTTCTCTGGCACCCCGCTCTTTAGCAAGCAACCCCATAAAGCAGCTCGATCAACCGAGTCAACTACAGCCCTTATGTCTAGCAATGCGATAATAGTTGACCTGTAAATACATGTGGCGATGTTTGAATAGTTGACGAGGCGTGAAAATTTGCTCCACTAATCCACAACAGGGTCGGAAACTAGCTTGTTCCTCACGGCAGTGTTATCCTAACATTGGGGATATTCTGCGAAGTAGTATGCATACTAATAGCTTAAGGGTAACAACAATGAGGCTACTCAATCGATGATTGACACATGAATTGCGAGCGCCTTTCTTGAAAATTATGGCTGATTCTCCCCAATAGAGTATTTTTTTCTTCATGTCTAATGTTTGTGAACAAGGTCAGCTGGTTAGTGATTACCACGCTGCCATGTCGGGACAGCTCCGGGAGAAGCGTCTGAGCCGGCATCCTTGAATATCTTCAAGCGTCGAATCTCGAGGCAGACTTCCGCTTTGGTGGGTGGGTCCAGTTGGACGAGCGACAGTGGGTAACAAAGTGTACTGCATGCATGGATGGACAACGGAGGCCAGTTGGGAACCATACATCGACCCCGGTAATCCTTTGATCCACTAACGGTTTTACTTTCTTGGAGGTATTAATGCCTTTACCAGTTGATTCGGCGGACCATCTTACCGTTGGACAGTTGCTAGACAGCACAATCAAACTTGGGCAGGTCTCCGATTTGACCCTGTTCGTTGACAAACGCTCTGTCCTCAAATACTAGTGTTGATCCAGAAACACCCACTAGTCTGCCAACGTCCCAACTATTGACGGCTAGGGACTGAACTTTCCCCATCAGTTTGTCCCTACTTGTAGCTACATGGACCCTGACTGGTGCCAAATTATTAATAATGTCTCGGATATCACGAAGGTAGATCTGCATCTATCGCACCTTTAGCTCTCGCACTATTGGTCTCTCGGTCTCGTATGTATAACCACGGTGTTGGCCTTTCTTAGTGACATGTCCTTACTTTGTTCGAGATCGACCATTATCATCTTTTGAGCATCGATGGAGTCGATCTATCCGCAGTGCTGATTTGCGCAGGTTACCGTCAGACGGCGCTGCTGAAATGATTCCGCTAACCACACTGGGTATGTGTTACACGTGCCCGCCCCATCCGTTGTGAAAGGACAAGGCGTCTGCCTAGCAACCCGGAAGTCGCGGGTTTGAGTCTACGTAGGGACAGGTTGTGGTTGCGTGGCAGCGAAGCGTCTGTGCGGCGTACTGCCGGTGCCTTTCTTTCTACATCTCCTCAGTGCTCACTTGACGCTTAGTGGCACAATGAGAGTGGTAGTGGGGGTTTAATTTGTCGCCCATAGTTCGGTGTTGTTGCTCCGTCTCACCCTTCTGGATCGGCTTCACGCGCCCCACTGTCCTTCGCTCGTCGCTCCATAAGACGGCTCAAAACGTGCATCTATGTCTTTGCTGTCATTTATATAACTGTCTATATTACTTGTCTCAATGAGTTATCGCTCAGATAACTTTACTTGTGAAGTTGATCACTTGGACCCATAGGGAAGCTGTCTCCCTGATGCTTCCTTATCTCCACAAGATGGACAGCTGTTTGTAACCATTATGAGATCGTCTTACTCTTAGCTGTTCGCTAAGAGCGATCAGGTTGTACATGTCTTATTTTATTCCTGTTTTTATTTAACCATTGAAGCACATTGGGCCGCCTGCTTCTTAGTCACGCCCCTCATCTATTTCCTGCTGTCTACTTATCTCCTACGTACCGGCTCTCCGCTCGCCCCGAGGAAAACCCTGATTGCTCTGTGCCGAAATTATATGACCTGACTGGACGAGTACGCTTTTAGTACTCCACTGTACAATGCACCGGATTTACAGCGTCTTCGGCGAGAGGCTTTCTCCATTGCCGCACATTAAATCCTTTGCATGTTTACACAGTGTTTTTGACACTTACGGTCCCCGCCTTTTAATCAATTAGGGGCGGTATTCAGGGTGCAGAACCGCCGGTGCTGCATTAAACTAATCTGTTCATTGCTACTATTTTGTTCTCATATTAATATCTAAACCAGCCGTTTGCATTTATAGCATCAAAGGGTAAACTTGCAATTATTCGCTTCCTTTGTTCTTCTCCGAGAATTGTTTTTGTATTCAGTGGGACAGTTCAGTTCAACGTATTTGTCGGGATAGGAACACCCACGTGCGGTGGACCCAGTTGCAATTACTCGCTCCTCTAAGATACTATGGAGGTAAACAAGCAGCCGGAAAATGGACATAAAAAATCTGCCGAGACTATTAAAAAGGTTTATTAGAGATAAATAAACGACATTGAGGCAAAAAGCTACATGCTGTGGCGCCACTGACTTTGCCACCGCGCCACCTTAGGCAAAATAGCTGAGAATTGTTGCACAATAGCCGAGGTGTTGTCCACCAGCTAACGTGTATACTCATGAATAATGATGACTTCAGGCTAAGTCTATAATCATCAATATGTCCCATCCTAGGACCTCAATCAAAGAAGTCACATACACCAGTCTGGTTGATTTCTAGTTGTTTTCCTCCTTACCAGGTAGCACTTCTAAGACATCGTCCAACC